CAATCCTACTATTTGTTGCTAAAAGAGTTGTAGCCCAAGAGTTGGAGGTGGGTGGTGATGACTAGCTGCCTTCCCTCTAGTCTTACACTGCTAAATTAGGGACGGCTAGCACAGATAGCCCTCGTGTGGCTTTGCGTGAAATTCACAAACCAACCAACCAAATGTCAACTCACCAGGAACATCCAGCTTACTTGACATCGACATCTATATCTATATATTACATTAAACTTATTAATCATCACCAATTATTCTCTTGGAGACGAATGGTCAACTATTTGAAAGTGCTTGAGTGAAAACATGTTAATTGTTTTTAATATCTCCATTATCAACATTTTTCTCTTCAGTGTCCACATGTTAACATATTTTTCAAATGACTCCAAGGTCAACATGTTAACATATTTTGAATGACTCCATTGTCAAGATATTAACATGTTTTGAATGACTCCATTGTCAAGATATTAACATTTTTTTGCATGACTCCATGGTCAACATATTAACATTAACATGTTAATATGTTGACACTGGGGTCATTCAAAATTAATATGTTGACACTGGGGTCATTCAAACATGTTTTGAATGATTCCATGATCAACATATTTCTTGAATGACTCCAGTGTCAATGTGTTAATTTGTCTTTCTTGTTTTCAGCATGTAATTCATCTGTTGTTTAACATGGTTTAATTTCTACATGTTTCGGGTTCCAACAGCTGGTTTGCTGGTCCTATGACAAGACAAGAGGCTACAGACCTGTTAATGGCAGAAAATGACACTGGAAGGTTTATAGTGAGAAACAGTAGCAGTATACAGGGAGATTTGGTGTTGTGTGTCAGGTCAGTTAAAGTTCTTGTGCTGTCAGCATGTTTGAAATCGGATGTATAACAAGCTGAAGTACATTCTTGAGAATGATGTTAAATAATAACTTATTATGGTTCATCAGAAAATAGTCTTCCCATGATTATGTACGTAGCAATTCTAGGTGAAAACAGTAGAATCTAATTTTGTATATATATAACTTTTGTTTTCACTTTATTTTTTGTGATATCGTTATGAAGAATGTTATGGAACATTTATTCCAAAATGTTTCTTCTTATTTTCAAGCATGATGCATTCTTACACTGGACTTTGATGTATAAAAATCTAGATTAACCCGTAGTACTGTTCCTGTTCACCGAGTTTTGTGTTCCTTGTCTACTCTAAAGCTGTTACTATCTCTGTAAACAAATTTAGTGTGTGACATGTACATTTCTGTAAAGTCTAAAAGTTAATGATAACTAGACAACATTTAACGACTGGTAATTTATTTCCAGACCATTGCTCCTTTCTGAAATGTGTTATGTACCTGATTCATACATAGTCAGTAGAAAAAAAACATTCATTTTCATAACCTGTTTAAGTGGGTTTCTTGGGTATTTGTTTTTAATAGTAATACCTAGAGGAAATATTCTTTTCATACATAATTGTTTTTTTTTATTTATCTAATAAAACAAACTTTACAAACAAAATTAAAATTGTCGAATTACGGTTCTCGTGTAAGTCTTTTTTTTACTTTTAGGGAAGACAATAAAGTAAGTCATTACATTATAAATAAAATACAACAAGGTGACCAGACAAGGTTCAGAATTGGAGATCAGATGTTTCCCGATGTCCCTTCTCTACTAAACTTTTATAAACTTCATTATCTGGACACTACTCCTCTCATACGGCCAGTAAGTACATTTTGATTAATTTCTGCATTTCTCAGATCATTTATTATAAATATTTATTAGATTTATATTTGTACATTCCCTCAAGTCATTTACTTAATGAGGAGAAAAGTACAGAGTTGTGTTCTAGGAACAGGATCATAAAAATGTAGGCTAATGAAGGAGCCCTCTGGCTTGTATTTTTGTGAGGGTAGAAAGCTAACATAATGAGAATTTTCAAGTTGCAGTGTTGTGTAGATATACCTAACTATGCTTGTAAAGTTAGCATGACCCACGTATTAGACTAACCTGGTAAAATATGGTAAACCTAACTGAGTGTTTTTTTTCACTGGAGGTTTAAGCTTTGTAGCTTTAATTGTTACACAAGTTTATCTTGAAAAACTCGCTTTACCTTCGGACAGAAGCATGAGACACGTTCTTGTGTAGCTACAGATCACAGTGTATTTCAGTTTTTGGTATTAAAACTTATTCAGGATCAGTGTTTTAGTGCTACAATAATAAACAACTTAAAATATATTATTTCACTCTTTATACAGTTCTTGGTTAGCTGAGGTCACTAACTGCACCTATATTTCAATATGTACAGGTAAACTTATGTAGAAATGAAGTTTTAAAAAGAAAGCAGTTTACTAAAGGTGCTTTCACCTTTATATTCAGAATAATTACATTTTGAAAGTAGCCACAGTACTTTGAAATCTGATTCATGAAACGTTAGACAAAAAAGTTATATTAATTGTCCATTAAATGACAGAAGTGGTGGGGAAATAGATCATATAACGTGTACTTGAAAACCCAAGTGTGACGAGCCTGTATGATGAAGTATTTAACCATAAAACTTATTGTGTTGTTATTAAACACAAGTACACTTGACTTACCATGGTATACAGTCTCAGCTGTCTTACCATGGTAAACAGTCTCAGCTGTCATATAGATCATATAACGTGTACTTGAAAACCCAAGTGTGATGAAGTATTTAACCATAAAACTTATTGTGTTGTTATTAAACACAAGTACACTTGACTTACCATGGTAAACAGTCTCAGCTGTCATATAGATCATATAACGTGTACTTGAAAACCCAAGTGTGACGAGCCTGTATGATGAAGTATTTAACCATAAAACTTATTGTGTTGTTATTAAACACAAGTACACTTGACTTACCATGGTAAACAGTCTCAGCTGTCATATAGATCATATAAGATGTACTTGAAAACCCAAGTGTGACAAGCCTGTATGATGAAGTATTTAACCATAAAACTTATTGTGTTGTTATTAAACACAAGTACACTTGACTTACCATGGTAAACAGTCTCAGCTGTCATTTATATGGCATTATATGATGTATTTTTATACCACCCTGTAATGATATTCTCTCCATGAGCACTCGTAACACTTACCAGAATTCTTAATTTTAATCTGAGTAACACTATTGGACTCGTAAAGTTTGAACACCCTGTTAACTTGTTAATAATTGTCCGATTGTTTCATGTGAGTGATTGTTGATATTTTGTTGTTTTCATTTAATACTATGTGACAAAGTAATCTTGGTTTATATGAAATCTGAATTTTTAATTTTCAGGCGGAAAGAAAAGTAGAAAAAGTTAGAGCAAAATACGACTTCACAGGAAGTGTGAGTAAGATCCTTTTCTCCATGTTCTGTATTTACATCAGTTTGGTATTTTTATCTTTTATAGATATGTGTTTTTTAAGACATGTTTGAGTTAACGTGTACAACTTGGAAGGTCTTTCTTATGATCTTGCTATTCTATAAAACATTGTGGAATTTGAGTTTCCTTTTTCTGGACACGATACACTTTTTATATATCTTCAGAACTATCTCTCTGTCATTAAATTGTAGGTTGATGAGTCAAATTCCCTGGTACTTGAGAGACTAGAAATAATTAGTGGCATAAACTTGTGTTTTATTTTTCATTGGCAAAGCCAAAACAGTTCTTGGTACAGCAGCAGATGTGATATGAGAACAACTGGACAGTATGGTTTATCAACTACTTATATTCTACATATATCTGGTTATTCAGATGGTAATAATTTCATGTGGAAGATATATATACCTACAGTTTGAACAATACCATGTAAGGCAAGAATACAGGTGCCAAAAAATACAGTAATATTGAGAGGAGTTTGTAGCGTGAGATTTAAACCATTTGTTTTTTGTCATAGCTGGTAATTCCAGAGGTTTTTTGTCATAGCTGATAATTCCAGAGGTTTTTTGTCATAGCTGGTAATACCAGAGGTTTTTTGTCATAGCTGGTAATTCCAGAGGTTTTTTGTCATAGCTGGTAATTCCAGAGGTTTTTTGTCACAGCTGGTAATTCCAGAGGTATTTTGTCACAGCTGGTAATTCCAGAGGTATTTTGTCACAGCTGGTAATTCCAGAGGTTTT